CCATTGGCACGCCCATCAGAGCCTCAGCTAGACATTCTAAAGTTATTAAAATCAGCGTACAGATATATATGTATATATAATCACCTTTCATTTGTGTTCGTTATTGCATGACGTTTTACTTTTAATTACCTGTAACAGGTCAAGCATTCAGAAGGCACCAACAATGTCAGTTAGGTTATATTTAAATTGTAAATACAAAATGACTCGTGTGGAACTCACTTCTGTGCACCGTGTGTTTGTGCTAAAGAGTTTTCCAAAGCCACCGGAAGGCAGTGCCAGGCTATTTGGTCAGTAGTACAAGTACATCACCACCTCCCAGTCCTGTTCAACATGCTTCACAGTGGCCATGCATATTTTATAGGGAGCAATTGTATATATTGATAGATATAACTGAAAGTAAACTGAACGAGGGCATGTCCGTACTGTTAATCAGTCATCGGTCAATACTCGAGATCTCTTCAGGCGTTAATAATTGAATGACTTGTTTGGTCCATAGATTGTGACTGAGTGTCCAGTTCATATCTCTGGCGTATCCTATGTAGTATATATATATGAATGTACTGCTTCTCCAATGTTCCATGCGGAAAATATCTAGTAAACTACGTTTATTGATTGAATATTGATCTATTAGGTGTTTTAGATGCCTTCAATATTTATAATATATTTTTTTTTTGGAGATGGCTTAATATAAGATTTATAATCTTGTTGCCAGATCCATTTTCAATTTTATAATTTGTGTATGTGTATGTTGTAAATGAAAATCTGAAAATAAAATATTGTTTAAACCAATATTTAAACCGTGATAATCATGTGTCCTATACATTCATCTCTCCTAGTCTTTAACTTATATAACTGTGAAAATATCCTCTCTAAGTATAGGTTACAATCACATATTATTAAGTATAGAAACAGGCAAGTATAACAGCATTCCAAGGGCTAAACGGCAGTGTCTTCTCTGCAACAGTAATGACACGGAGAATGAAACCCATTTCATTTTGTTGTGCCCGGTCTACTCACAGCTCCGAACAAAATATATCAAATTTTATTATTTCCGTCGCTCATGGGGATTTTAATTATTCTCGTGCAAATACAGAAAAAAATTCGTAAGCTTTTGATAGAAGCTACGTTTAACAGAAATTCTATCTTAAATATCTGATCAATTGTGTATATGTTCCATTACATGTTCCACTGACAATAATTATACATTTCATTCAGCATGTTGATAATATTGTTATGTTCTCCACCATCTTATGGTCATCGAATGAAATATTATACCTGAATGCATATTTATCCTGTATTTTATTTGCAGTTGGAAATAAAGAAATTGAACTTTACTGTATATAATAGAGTCTCTAAGTCTAGGGAAATAATTGCGCTGTGCAAAAGCCTTTTACAAGCACTTTAGTAAGGTGGTAGCAACATGCATATACATATATATAGATTCGCCTCGAGATTCAAATCACTACTTTGCTTCAGATGAATTAAAGAGTATAGAAACAAATATTGGATCAAATATGAAGTTTCTTTATTAGGCAGTTGTATGATGTTTGTGGGAGGCTGGGATAGAGCGGAACTGAATCCGACTTTTTAATGTTACCAGAGTCGTATTCTGTCGGACACTCCACCAGATCACATTATACTGGGTCCAGTCACCATAGTCTACCATAAAAAGGAAAGGATACGATTTGTTGTATAATCAAAGTAACTTGCAGGGTAGTTGTTTACAACTGGTGTTTGTTATGTATATAAAGCGCATTGTAACAAAGGTTCGATATCAACCTAACATGTACCAACAGTGGGTCGTTCCCTAAACAGTTCAGTCTTTACAGCCTGGCTTCTCACTGACGTGGCAAAGTTATATAACGATAAAGATAGGGTAGTACCATGATGGATTCCGGTGTTAAAGTTTGAACACTTGTAATAATGTATCACCTTCATGTTAGACAAACAACGTGCTAGATAAGTTAAAACTCTGATTGACGGTCGTTATCACAAAGAGTGACTGTTGTCGCTGTTATCAGGGGTCTCCTCTCGTGCAGTTTGACTATTTGTAAGGATTTGTATCGAGTGTTTACTCCATATTTCTTAAACAGCGTTAAGTCAAAAATAAACACCTGGAAAAATCTACAGATTTGAATACAGCCAACACTTACCTTACTTTTGTATAAAACATACTTGCAAGAATTATGTGCGTTGTTATCGATACATACATTGATATACTTAAATACCGACATGTACGTTTTTATGTGTGACCTGTTCAATGATGTCGTCTCTGAGGTAAAAATGAAGATGATGATGGAAAATATTTTATATAAAAAGTTAATGCTAACAACTTTAATGATCCTCGTGTCTAATAAATGAATACCTACGTGTTTATATGTACGTATACATCAATGACAGGCACAATTACATGTCAGACAGGTGAGACAAATTCCTGTAAAGTACGCGTGAACTGGGTATGTTGCATTATCCCATACACGTATGATTCCCCAAGATATAAGACAAGAAAGATATATTCCATACTGTGTGTGTACGTGTAATTATGTGTCTTATGAATAACAGATAAATGTTTATAGGTAAAGTAAAGTTAACGCAGTTATCATTATATACAAGTATATAAAACTATGGTTAACTTACAGTTAATGTATGTTTCATACAGGTGTATAAACTATGCTTTACTTACAGTGAATGCGTGCATGTTATAAACAGGTGTGTAAAACTAATGTTAACTACAGTTAGCCTGTGTATGTTATAAACAGGTGTGTAAAACTAATGTTAACTACAGTTAGCCTGTGTATGTTATAAACAGGTGTGTAAAACTAATGTTAACTACAGTTAGCATGTGTATGTTATATACAAGTGTGTAAAACTATGGTTAACTTACAGTGAATGCGTGTATGTTATAATCACGTCAAGGTTTACATATATGACACAGGTTTGTAAAATCACGGCTTCTGAACAGAGTACATATATTTGTTATAATCACGTCAAGTTTTACCTATTTGGCTTATAAGATCACTACTTATGTATTGTAGATATATTATAATAAAGCTAGATTTGTGTAATCTATAAAAACCACGGCACTATATTAATGTGTATTACTGGTTGACTCGCGCGAGATTAACCAAACTTCACTTGTTATGTATATATAGCATTAGATTTATAATACTTCGGTAATAGCATTAACCACAAAGAAACACAAGTCAGATCAGATTTATTGTACGGACGTTTGGACAGTGATCTTTTACCAGTTGTGACCTCAATCTCTTATGATGCGGTCAGTTCGACCTTATTTCACGCAGCGTAGCGATATTTGCGTAAAGGCAGCTACGCGCATGGCATGGGGGCCCGTCATCCGGTTTCAACAAAATTCTGAAGTGGGACATTACAGATGCATGCACACTTTGTGAAACACTTATGTCTTCATTGTGGCAATGATTGTACAGTTTTAGTGCAATATTAATGGCCAATGTTATTTTTTAATGTAGGTCAAAGATCACGGTCAAGGCCACATGGTCAAAGTTTTTGGTACCACCGGAAAGGTCTTGTCACAAGAAAGGCGCATAATAGATATGAATGTCATACCTCTTACGGTGCAATAGTTATGGGCAAGATTAAAGTTGACAACAGAGAACCAAATTCATAACACAGTAACAATATGCCTCTGATCTTTCGATCCGGGGAGAGGTGGGGGAGGGGGGGGCATAAAAAACGTGCTACGTATGAATAACACGATACCCTACCTTCGAGTCCCTTCTTACGTGCTTGACGTGTACAATGATAAAAAAAAACTAAAGAATATTGATGTTAAATACGTAACCATTTTGGCGGTAAAAGTTAAAAGAAATTGTTAATGATTGGAATTACTCACGGGAAATGTAAATTACATGTATATCAAATAATGACCCCAAGTCGTATGTAATATAATTGTCGTAGACATATAAGCATGTATGAAGATGTCTTATGTTGACACATGTAAGCTGCTGTTTTGGAAACGGCTAAGTAGAGCAGACCCGAATTTTTTTATAGAAAATTACTCTTGAGTGCTCGTATGTCCGATTTTATGATTAATGAAAATATGACGACAAGCTGATATCGTTATCGTATAATTCTAGCAGCCTCTTTTATTGGGACAAGATAAGAAAAGAAAGTTGGAAAATATTCGTTACAGATGTAATTCACTTTCATCAGAATGAGATCTGTGCTCAGTGTTTACTCAGGTATCCAAACAACTCTTACTTTGCATCCGCTGTGACTAGTTGGTAAACGAAATCCACAGTACATTTGGAAATTGGTAGAAATAATCAAGTTGTAATTTATATGTCAATGAAACAATCACTTGTAAATTAATTAACAAGGAAGCAATGTAATAGTTCACTTTTCAGTGTTGTAAGCTTTACTAATCTACAGATCTTTTATATGACAATGTTATTGGTATTCTCGGTACAATTAACTACACATAACATCCACAGCTGGATGAAACAAGCATGACAAATGTATTACTATGGAATAGACTATGTATTGATATTGAGGATGGTGTCTAGGAACAGGTTATATTAATGAACAGTGTCAGAATCGTAACAATGGTTACATTCTTGACAGAAAATTTGTGATGTATAAATATATCATTTAGTAAATTAAATGACTGACCTCGTGCTCATTGTCACATGTAACATTCATATTTTATATTTTGTACATAACGATGTTTATTTTCTAACTCTCTATTACAAAATATAATTCTCCTGTGGAGTAATGAGTAAATCTATTCACATTGGAAAGGTCCCTGGAGATCCACTTCCTTTGTTCTGATGACCGACAGAATATGAAGGTAGAGATATATTGCCACGCTAAACTGTGTTCACTTTTATTAACCAATTTTCACAGCCTCAAAGCATTAGATTCCACGATTTAAATGAAGATAAAACTACACGACGGGTTGCGATAGATATGTCTCGTACAGTATTACTACAGTGTGTCTGTAATATCTCTTCTCTCTGCAGGTCCTGGTCCGGCCAAATACAACCTCCCGACGACGGTTGGAACCAAAGAGACGGACCAGACGAAGAGAGGAGCGCCGTCATTCTCATTCGGCTCCAGACAATTCAGTAAGTGCTCGTTTGCTTCTACGTGATTCAGTTACAGGGTTCAAAATACCGCTCAAAGCAGAAGACATTTTATATTCATGATTTCTGAATACATAGGAAACCCCTGCAAACGTTAAACCGTTTATAGGAAATCCCTGCAAACGTCAAACTGTTCATAAGAATTCCCTGCAAACGTCAAACCGTTCATAGGAATTCCCTGCAAACGTCAAACTGTTCATACGAAATCCCTGCAAACGTCAAACCGTTTATAGGAAATCCCTGCAAACGTCAAACCGTTCATAGGAATTCCCTGCAAACGTCAAACTGTTCATAGGAATTCCCTGCAAACGTCAAACCGTTCATAGGAATTCCCTGCAAACGTCAAACCGTTCATAAGAATTCCCTGTAAACGTCTAACCTTACATAGGAAATCCCTTTAATCATTCATCCTTACCTAGGTAATTCTTGTAGACGTCTAATCTTACCAAGGGAATCCCTGTAGACGTCTAACCATACCCAGGGAATCCCTGTAGATGTCTAATCTTACCCAGGGAATCCCTGTAGACGCCTAATTTTACCCAGGGAATCCCTGTAGACGTCCATCCTTATGTAGGAGTTCGCTCCAGATATCCAGCCTTACATAGGAAATTCCCTGTAGACGTTCAACGTTACATAGGAAATTTCTGTAGACTCCCGAGCGCACCCTCGCCACACAGCAGATGGGTACGTTGTCGTTTACAAGCACTCGACGACAGAATAGGACCCCGTGACCTGCGATGTTGTTTCAACACAGAACAAATATCTTGACAATTTGAAGAATAGGTTATAGAACACTTCAGGGTAGAACAATAATCATCCGCAGTTTACACGTCCGACTATAGAGTTTGTATAACACATAGGATCTCGACACTGTGGCATTAAATCATTAAACAGATTGTTTTTTCAGCTCATTCGGAAATCGATATATATCCCATTTCAATATTTGTCCAGAAATAAAAATAGAAAGAATAACACACAAATCCCAAAGGATATACGAAAGTCAACTCGACGAGAAAGGTGAAATGTTTGTTTTTACAATAAGACATGTTTTCTACTGGTGTAAGTATACACTCAGCCCTTCAAGGAGGCGACCAACGGGATACCACTTGTGTTGTGCAGTAGTTGGAACCTAGAATTCGTATTCAAGTGCTTTTTTTTACCCTTAGTGTGAAGCATCATCGTTCATGTTTTCGACATTTTAAAACAAATATGTTGGTTTGAAAGAGCTGGGTGTGGACGGTATCGACATTAGAACGACTGTGTACGCAATATTATCAGAAGTAGACTCCAGCTTTAAACATTAAGTTAGGCTGACAATGGGGTATTTCAATCTTTACGTATAAGTTTATTTCCTGAGCCCGCTTCCATAATTTTACAAGTACCTATGGTTTTCACTATCCTCCATCAATAGAAGTAAATATCATCTAATGTTTAAAGAAATATGACCTTTGATGCCGCACCATTCACTGCCATGGCCTGAAAAATCACTTTCATTCCACAGTCTTATTATACATCTTTATAATATCATTTGAATCGAATTCAAATAATTACAGAATAAATTTGAATTAATGAACTATTCATCCTACCATGCTTTGTGTAACGTTTCTATGTCATTATCATGATGATTTTTTTTTATCAAGAAATTTCTTGAACTTCGATTCGTATCTGTTATTTGAAATAAAGTATATATTTTTCAATGTGACTCATATGTTTTCTTATTGACCTTAAAACTAAACAGACCTGTGCGGTCATTTGAAAATTGTAATACAGTTCACTAAAAAAAATCATCCAATTTATTCCCCATCTGATGTTCGTATTATAAGATAACATTTGAACACATCTTGCCTTTTCCAGGATTCCGGCCCAGTGGTCCGGGTCCGGCCTACAATTTAGACAGTGACTTGACACACAAAGGTCGCGTGACCGGGTCATCCTTCAGTCTGGGAGCAAGGCCGAAGACACCGAGTAAGTGACTAAATAAAATCAGTGGTATTAAAGCGGGATTTTTGACAAATTGTAAAAATAATTTTTAACTTCAGTTGATAATGAATAGTAACTGAATTTTACCTTTATCGTTGTTATTCAGAATTTAATATATTGCGTTTTCCTGCAGAACGACGTGATGTCAGTCCGGGTCCTGCAGCTTACAATACCGACATGGCCCCACTCTGGGAGAAGAACTCTCCAAAGTATAGTCTCAGTCCCCGAACATCTCCCAGACGTATCGACGTAACCCCCTCCCCTGGGGCATATTCCCTACCCTCTACAATAGGACCTAGAGTACCCCACAGGAACGGAGGACCAGCTTCTAGTATACTAGGGAAAAATACGTACGGTGGATTTTCCTCAGACTGGGCAAAAACGCCCGGACCAGCTACATACGGGGCACATGATCCAGGCCTCACGAAAAACCGAGGGCCTTCATATAGTCTAGGGGCCAAGGCGAAACCTGTACCTGATAAAGATAATTTCCCAGGACCCGGGAGATACAGTCCAGAAAAAGTGACAGTTCACATGGAAAACAGCCCTAGGTACCCTATCGGGGTGCGCCATTCCCAGTTTGCCATGCCTGTTATGCCCCTGGCTGATGTTCAGTGATCTTGTGTCTCTTATCCTTATTTATTTTTTCCTTCACTTTGACCACTGAACAGCTCCAGTGCACTGGTTAGCAGAGACGATATCTTACAAATAAGCAATCTGTGATACAAACACTCATAGTCAATCATACATTACAAAAACATGTGATATACTGTTTCTTCGTGTGTCTAAAAACAGATAACAACTCTGTTTGGACATGTCTATAACCTTTGTCCGTGAATGTCTATTAGGGGTTGTGTCTTGAGATACTCCATCTGTTGATGTAACGGACGACATTCTGTCTATCTGCAAAAGTTTAGAAGTGACAACAACGATATCTACTCTGTTTGAGCCAGCCCGTAAGCTTTGTCTGCGCATGTCTGTGACAGATATTAGGTCATAATGATATCTAAGAAACCATCGACCTAATTTTTCGGATGGTATGTGACATTATTGTAAGGTTAACGTTATATCTAAGTAAGAGACAATGGATTAGATTATCACTTCGATTCTTTCGCAACCTTTCCCCTCAACTGTCATCAAGATGTAGTGATTTTACAGATTAATGTATTTATCACACAAAACACAGTTAAAGTTTACCAAAGTTCCATGTGGACAATGGATTTAGCTGTGTTTCTACATCAGAACAATCATTTCGTTATAATAAACAAACACAATCCGTAAATGTATGTGTTAGTGTGTTACTATGCATCGAAGAGGAAAAAGAAGGGAGATAACTCACATAGCTCAAAGTATAAGGAATTTGTGTGATTTAAATGCATGCCTAAAAACACAGATAACACGATACAATCATGGTTACTTTTTTTTATCTGAATCATATGACTCATTTTAATAGACATGTCGACAATGCATTATTATTTCACACTTCGTTGTGCCCATACTGGCACTCTCATACATACATTCGTTCGTCAAGAATTTAGCTCATCTTTGCTATATTATGGAAAGCGATTTGACATTAAATAGTTGCAGACCTCGTCGGTGATGTAAGGGCCTGACACTTCACTTTAGCTGACTTTATCTATGTGGAAATTACATACTTAGTGCCTCTATTGGTCAGCCGTGTCTGGGATATCGTATAATTACATATTCAGTCACCCTGTTTGGTATATAGGATCAGAATGCCCTTAACAATCATCATTCCAGGAAAGATTACTTCATGATAAACACGCTGAGAAATTCAAGCCATGCTACCCAACATCAACGTTGGTCACCTCGCGTTCACCTCTGTTACATCCCTGGACCCCTTGGCGTGACAGGAAATTGAGCACACGCTGTACGTGTAGGGCAATCTCGGAGGGGTAACAAACAGCTCCCAATATAGACATAGATTCAGGAACAACGAATATCGATACAATCTATCATCTCCTTTCACGATCTTACACCAGATGGCCAAGGACCACACACGCTTCGCTGTATACTTATCGTGGTCTCGTGTTATTTTCGCTTAATTAAGTGAACAATCCTTCTATACCAAGTCTAAACGTTGTTGTTGTCTGACTATGCTTGGCATTCTTTCCGAATTTGACTTAATTTAGGTTAAAATATATACTTATCTTTATTATCATAATTCTATATTGATTTCCCCAACTCCGCCTCGAGATAAATATTGAAGGCCCCTTGCGCTACTGAAGAGTCAAAACGACGGAGTGAGTTCAGTAAATTGATTTTCTGTTTTGGTTGAAACGTTTTAAAGCATCTGTGTCTTAACATTACAATCATTTAACTCGCCTGAAATATCTGTTTAACCATTGAAATATGTTGGGATCCGTCCTTACCCGTGAAAATTCTACTAAAACTGATGTAACATCTTGAAAAATTCTCAATGTATAATTCAACTATCATACATGCATAATACATTGGGAAACCATGAAATGTCTTCTTTTAATACATGAATTGTTTTATCAATAATTAGATGTCCTTCAAACCTGTTAAATCACCTTCAAAACAATATAATGTCTTGTAAACCCGTGAACTATTTTGCAAACCCGTACAAGATTCGTAAACCATTGAAAGGTCGTTTTTCCATGAACAATGTTTTAAGCCAACAAATGTTTTTAAATATCAAAGAATTGCCTTGACAAATAATGAAATATCTTAAATTCCCATGAAATGTCTCACTTAAACTTTGTCATAAGTTGTGATGTTAACGTTTGGAATAGACCGTATATATATGCCTACATAACCCAAATACCTTTACATACTAACACGTCCATCGGGAATCATATTCTCACCAGGGCGCCAATATTGACCCAGAGTAGAAACTAGAATTTTAGAATATTCAGAAGAAACACTAAAAAAAATTTTGAAACAACTACTAATTTTGTTAAATCTCATAAAATGGTAGATACGTCAGTGAGATTGGAAATTCAACAACTACAATGTGTTAGACAATTGTTCTCAATATTGACAAGACAGTACTAAGCGTTTTAAGCCAACGCAAACAATGTAAAATCGAATTATCTAAAAATCGTGTGGTGTGTGTGTCGGGACTACCTGGATGACAAAGTTCGCGGATCCAGTATGTATGTTGAGTTTCGTTTCTCGGTAAATACCTCTTACACTGAATGACGTCACACTAAGTGACATAATTAAATTAAGATACCAGTAGCGCTATCGTGTTTAACGACTCGGTGCTTTTGTTATCTCTTCTCTACAACGTCATATTATCATAATTCTTTATTTCTCCCGATTTAGATAATCCGATAGGCTGAACATACAAACGAGCCAATACATCGTCTCCAGTCACATGATGTGTGACCTCTATACACTAACATGATAAATTAGGTCATAATACGTAATAAGGTGTTGTAAATTAGGTCATAATACGTAATAAGGTGTTGTTTGTATTGATTCTAATTCTTTTCCGCAAATACCCAAATATGGAACCCCCCAAAAATAACAATATTTACAAAGGCAATATTTTATAAAGTTTCTATGGATACCCAAGGAATACGTCCCTTACTTTATAGATACTCTATAGATAGAACCTCATATCAACTATATAGGTTGTGTGGTATAGCTATGTTAAAGATATTTTATGATAAATATATTTATTGATCGATATTTTCTGGCGATTGAAATAAATTATTTCTCTCTTAAAAAATCTACTCGATTTCATTTCTCAATAATTTTGATCAAGCAAAGGCCAAGGGATATGATAACAATAACATAACACATAATGCTAGTACTTATAACATAAACAACACCTTTCTATAATTGCCAGCACTCACACAATACGTAATTCCTATTCTTATGTTGAGAATTAGTTAAAATTAATCACTTTAAAATATTTAACGTCATTATTTATAATTATAGATGCCAAATTGGTTAAATTTGTTTGCCCTTTCAACACGTCTTTCCCATATCTCGCTATATGCTGACCCAGTCGGTGACACCACTCCGCTAATTGTTTTCTATAGGACGAGTACACCGCCTGGTGGCTACGCGAATTTTAATTAGTGTTAATCTAATGAGCCATGGTGTAATGATAATAATACAGGGAGATGATACGGACCGGAATCGTGGCGATAATCACGTGGATAATTAATTAGTTTGACCTGGGGTGTATGCTGGATCACTGATTAGCGGAGTGGGTGTGACCCATGGTAAATCTACACCAGTCTGTCGTAAGATGTACCAGGGTGTATAAATAGCGGCTAGGATGTGGTATAGCTCATATCAATCTCCATGACCAAGTCATTCGTGTGATTGTGTACCACTCATCAACTAACTGTACCAAGACCAGCCTCACGAGTTCGTCACTGACCTCTGTAATATATACTTATTTACTACAACATTTCTATACGAGCTATGGGAGACAACTCCTACCAAACCTCCACCACCCGGGACAAAGGCACGAACCAAAGCACCACCATTCAGGAAGCACTGGAGGACAAGCTAAACTTGATGGAGTCCCGAATAGACTGGGCATACGACCAGATCCACCTGTTGTACAGTCAGCTGGAGGGACTAAGGAAGAGGTACAACAGGGCTTGCAAGGACGACCGCCGTTCCTTCCGGTACCACATCCGGCTCCGCATCATCACCTGCGAAGGAATGATCAACACGTTTTACGTGTACGCATGTCAAAAGGAAGTCGAAGCGAAGAAATTGCGTATGGCCATCTACGGTGACGTCATCGACGATATCTATTCCGAGGAGGACGAGGAGGGGGAGGGAGAGGAGGAGGAGGAGTGAAGGAGCCATCAGGAAAAGAAACTCTGTCATGGGAAGCTATCCTGATCCACCAATCACCCCATACGGCGTCAATAATTACTGACGCGAGCCGGTGAAGCCAGCCAATAACCACACACATCTCTTTTTAGAGATATTTATATGTCTCAAAAAACGTCTAAGAACGTCTCGAATAACGCTTATCATTGTACTCGTATCCCACCCGATTCTGGTCCCAAATCATTGTTTCTTTCCACCCACTTACTGCAACCCGACCTTTACCTACTTTCAACACAAGATACCCATAGATAGCCTTTCCCAGTCCATCGCTTCTTCTAAACCACGTAGTCCAACTCATCCCTCCCAAATTGTGACCAAAGCCGATACTCATTCTTACTTTATTAACTTATATAAACCCTACCCAAACCACTTATATAACCTAGATGTAGCCCTCTTCTACCTCTCAATAATACCAACCCAACTTTTCCCACCCTATCCTTTCCTTCTCTCAACCCAAGTATCCCTAACCAACCCATCCTTAATGCTGGGGTTTCCCACCCAGCCTTTTTCTGCTCCTAACCAAGGTAGCCCTACCAATACATCCCTTCTGCCTACCCAGATTCTCCTCAAAGACCCTTTCCTACTCCTAACCCAGGTAGCCCTCCCCATACACTCCTACTGCCAACCCAGGTATCGTATATGCACACGTGTGTGTATGACTTTTCCCAAATTTTCTTTGCTTCATATACATGATCGAGGTAACTCCACTATCTCTACCAGAGTTGTAATTCCTTACATTGGTCATCCCATTCACGTGATCCGGAGGG